AATGAGACCACAGGGTTCAGTCCTTACGAGTTGATGTTCGGGCGGCAACCTAGACTTCCTGTAGATCTGGCTTTCGGGTTACCCTTGAAGAGTAAAGGAGAAGTAACGCATTCACAGTATGTAAAGAATCTCAAGTCACATCTTGAAGAGAGTTTCCGTATTGCGAGTGAAAATTCCCAGAAAATGGCTGAAAGGAACAAGACTCGCTATGACAAATCTGTGAGAGCATCAACATTGCACAAGGGAGACCGAGTTTTGGTCAGGAGTGTCCGACTCAGGGGAAAGAGCAAACTCGCTGACAAATGGGAAGGAGTAGTCTATGTAGTCATAGACCAACATGGTGATTTGCCAGTGTATAAAGTATGCCCTGAGACACAAACAGGACCCATCCGGACATTACATCGGGATTTGTTACTTCCTTGTGGAACTCTGTCATCTGAAATGCGGGAATGTGAGTCCCAGAGTTCAGTTCCCAAGCGCAAGACTCGCAGTAAGACAGCTTGCAGAAATTCTGAGGAAACAGAGGAAAACTTCAATTCTGAGGAAGAGGAAGAATATTGTTCAATGCCTCAACTTGATATTGTGAATGAGTCTTTTGTGGTTCACACTTCTGGAGTGACTCACCCAAACAAGGAATGTGCTGTAATTCCATCACTTGAAGCGAGCTTAGAGATCAACCAAGGAGTTCAAAGTGAACTACCTGAAAGGGAATTTCAGGTCATTGATGAATTACCTGTGAGTGAACCTGTGAATCCTAAAGCTGACTTACCTGGAAATCCTGAGGTCCAACCTGAAAGAGAAAAGGATGCTGATATGAGTCATTCACCTAGCTTGGAGCTACAGGATCCGAATCATAATGGAGAATCATCCATCCTGGAATCCAGTTCGACTGGAAAAAAGCTAACTGATGAAGAAGCAGCAAATGATGCGGAGAAGGATGAGATTGAACTGAGAAGGTCTGCCCGACATAGAGAGAGACCCAAAATTCTGACTTACCCTGAACTGGGAAATCCCCTTGTGACTATAGTTCAATCCCTCCTTCAAGGTCTGAATGTTGCTCTCTCAGAGTCCCTGCAAGATTCCTCTCAAATAGGACATCTCCTAACTCGGGGGAATGCACCCATTGGTGAGATGCAAAGGGACTTGCATAGTTCTAAGAGGGGAGGGTGTAACCCAGACTCAAATTAGCATATTTGCAGTCTTTGCTCAAGTTCATTTGTCCAAAATATTTAACCATTAAATCATTATAATTACATATTTAACTGAATGTGTATGTGACTGAACAGTAAATAGAATAAAACTTCGTGACAGTGTAATAGTTTATTATAATATTTAAATTATACATTTTATTATTCATATAGTGATATTTAAATTATTGCAGCAAATCTCAACTAATGAGAATTGGGAATAGCACTGCAGACGGTAGGCCTCCAATCAGGGAAATAGGCCGCAGCTTTAACTCCGCCTCCTGTGAGCAACGCAGATCGGAATACAGAGATGCAGATCTAGAGAAAAGAGACAGAAATAGAACACAGAGAGGAGAAAGTGTTTTAGAAGATTAATTGTGAAATATTTACAAGAAGTCTTAGAGTTTTCATTTGAGAATAAGTTTATGTTATAATTACATCGATTGAGAAACTTTGTTTGGATACTTACCGTGCGTGTAGTCCGGTTGAAGCTGATGTTGGAGATTAAGCTAACGCTAATGAAGCAGCTCATCGTGGTTTATTCGATGAAACCTGGAAGATAAGCATATTCAAGAACAGTTAATTAATAGAGGAATCGGTGAGTTAAATGTTTATTCTGATTAATGTGGTTAACTGTGTTCATGTACAATACTAATGTGAGTCTAAACAGAAAAGAAACTGTATTTTTCACTATGTGTGGAGTGTGATTACAATGTATATTGTTGTTTAGAAATGTGCTAAATGATGCTAATGTAAAGTGAAATCACTAAGGATATTGCCCTGTTGTGTGCAGGCCAGTTTTTGCATGTATTTGTTCTATACTGTGGACTTCGTTCTTTGGTGCGGATGCATCGAGTCGCATGACGAGTTAAGGAAGAAGATGGCGAGCCACCCGTAAACAAACCGAACTTGGATCTGCTTCTCACTTTCCTTTTGGATTCGCGTCGTTTCCACAGTTCCTTCATCTGGAGGATTTTGTTCTCTGTTGAACTAAAGGATTGAGGTATTTGGTTCTCTTTGGACTGGGACAGTTCTAAGAGCAAGAAGGAAAGCGAGACATTATTTTTTGTTATTGTTTGAACTAAAATCTGTGAACTGAAAGTGATTATTTGATCTGATAAGATATTTACCTGTTCTGAATATTTTTCTTTTCTTTTTCTTTCATTATTAATGTGGTGAAGAAAGGTTTTGTACATTCATTGGGTTAATTTACATTTCGTTTGGTGAACTGTAGTTGATATTTTGGTTGAAGAAAGGAAAATTTCTAACAAAACTAAAGGTGTATATTCAAAACCTAAGAATATAATTAAAGATACTAGTCAATTAGGTGAACTAAATTGAGTCAAAAGCCAGTGAGGAAAATTTTAAATAATAAGCAAACTCAGAACTAAACCCAAATTAACTAAAAGAGAAGGGAAATTGAAGGGTTACATTTTGATAGCCTACTCATCTTTGGTTGATACGGTTGGATTTACTTTGGGGAATTGTTTTAATTGGTAATTGAATTTAATACGAAATTGAATTGTGTTTAATTGCTTTCTCTAAGGAGAATTTATCTTCAAACCTTTATTCAGTTGTTTTATTGTTTGTTTGTTTACCAAATTCCATTCATCATTTACTTTTCCTAATTACATAAAGGTGTGCTTGGAAAAGTTTATGTGTGTGTACCTTTGTCTCCTTCGACTCCTGTGTCTTCTGATCGGCCCAGTGATCTGGTTTATTACCAATTCTGCCAAGCAGGTGTTACAAGTATGTCCAAAACCTGAAGACAGATCTTCAGAAAGCCTACCGACTAGCTTCTGAATCCGCACTGAAGAATCATCAGAGAAACTGATATTCCACTTTTTTATAATAGAGGTATCTAAGCATAAGGCCTGGAGACCATGTGCTTATTTTAAATCTCAGCTACACAGGAAAGCACAAACTGGATTATAAGTGGAATTCAGTCCTGTACATTGTTCTTTAAAAGCTTGACAATTCACCCGTCTACAAACACAAACCTGAGAAAGGACCAGGAGGAGTCAGGGCGATTAGAGATCCCACCTCATGTCATTTATGAATGGCCAGTGCTCATGTCAGTCAAGAGAGTGTAAGAGGTAGCAGGAGAAGAAAACAAGTGTACAAGTAGTGATGGGAGAAACTAAGCTTTTCAAAGCTTCGAATCAATTGAACGAATTGCTTATCAAAAGTATTCACCGTTTTGAAGAGTTCGAAATGCCACATGCTGGTGATCCCTGCTGGTCAGAACAATGTAAATGCAACAAAACTCAGGCCAACCACATATAAAAACAGCTTTTACAAAACATTTACAAACGTTTTATTGAAAGTAAAATCTATCAAATGCAATTGTCTAATCATCTAATAAGATTAAATATCATCAAGTATATGTGTAATATGTGTTCTTTTTAAATCGCACCCAGCGATGAATCACTGAAATCTCGAAACAGTTATGATATAACGAATATTGCCAATCAACAATGCAGTTCAACAAGTATGTTTAACACAAATAAATCAGCGCTCTCTCTGCGCTATTTTATCTGGCATCGCAGGAGGATCAGAGTTTGCTAACTGGGGACAGTTTCACCTGGATGGAACTGACAGAAATATTTAACCTACTCGGGTACACTGTTTATTTTATTTGTGGTCAGGGTGGTACAGCGAAGTGGCCACTTTACATTTCATTCGGCCTCATTGCACTCAAGCAATGTTTCAGGCTTGCAAAGAGGGTTTGTGTGGTGTGTGTTGTGGGCCCACATTAAGCTGTTTTTTCATTTTCTGAATGATATAGGGGTTAATACTCTGTAACCCTGTAGTGATATATTCTCAATGAATCACAGTTGTGTTTCCAGTTGAAACTAAAGTTTATTTACATGCTGCATTTCTGTTCTAAGCATTCAAATATACATTGATATATTGGTTTACTCAAAGTATGGTACATTTTTACCTCATGTAAACAAACTGAATCACTCCTTCAAATTAACCTTCAGTGAAAAGCCATATTGATATAATTGTAAAGTTTAACCCTTGAAATTTGTACATAAATTTTTTTTTTTTTAAAGCCAAGTCATTCAAGCACTGTAGTTCACGATTTTAGTTCTTTAATTCTGTCATGTACTTGTCTCTTGTTTTGTGTGCAAGCACATGGCCGGTTGTTTTGGGCTATGTGTTTGCATTGTCTTGTGTCTTTACCTCGTTTCCTTGTCAGTTAATGTTTTATCAGTGTCACCTGTGACTTGTGATTATGTGTCCTATGTAAGATCCTTGTGTTTGTTTCTCATGGCTTGTTCATCTTGTTATCATCCGGTTCTGTGAGCTTTGTAATCTGTCTGTGAGTTCCAGTTTATATTTATTGTCAAGTCTAGTTATCGTCAGAGTTACTGTTTGTCATCATCAAGTTTCTAGTTCTGTTTATTTATGTTCGTTTGCCCCATCGTGTGTCCTTGTTTTCCGTTTGTAAATAAACCGTGTTTTGTGAAAGTACTGTCTGCACTTGGGTTCTTATCAGCAAAACGTGACAAATCCGTTTTAAATACATTTGTATATTTCAGTTTTACAGTGTGATCACTTAAAATATGTAGCTTTTGGAGTGGATATTGAAGGAAAGTGGGCACACTGATCTGGACTCATTTTTATTCTTCACTTCACCATTAGCTATTCTAACATTTGTAAAATATAGAATCCTGCCAGAAGATATCCGTTTTGTCAGTCAAACCTGTTAACACAAAAGATATGCTAACTGTATTAACAGTCTACTATCAGCCAGTGAGTTTGAATGAGAAAGCCAGAGAAGAGCCGAAGTGATTAGTTAGTTTATTGAATAATCTTAGTTGCGCATGTTTCATCTGACCAGTACAAATTCAACAAGTGTTATTCCAAAGCACAAGCAAAGGAAAAACAAAATACTGCTTCACAACTTCATCTTGTGACTCTACAAAAGAAACTCTTTTTCTTTTGAAAAGGGGCTCTTGCTAATTTCCCCACCGATGTTCTCTCAGATGGCCACACTGTTGGGGATTCGGTCTGGAGACAGATACCAATAGGGCACTCGCAAATTCTCATTTCGGCTCTTGATGATTTTGGTCACTTCAGCTAATTCCTTGCGGAAAGTCTTAGCGGCTCCCATGACCGGTTGTTCAGTGAAGTACATATCTGGATACTCGCCTAAAAACAGCTGGAGAAGATTTGCACACAATCAAAACAACTTCAATTTGTAGGAAGAAAAGGTTTATGCAAACTAGTTCTGAAGAATCAGTCATCAAACCTCGTTGTCCTGGAATTGACTGAGGGCCCAAATTATTCCGAGATGCCAAGAGGAACGTCCGCGGTCCGGCAGACTCTCCATGATGTACTTCATATCCACCTGGCCCTTCTGAGCGGGAGGGGGCTTCCGCATGGTGGAAGGGCTGTTTGGGATCCAGGAGAACCAGTCATACTGGAACCCAGGACAGACACACAGATATCAGCCTATAGATGTTCACATTTATATTCATCTTGAAAAGTGTGTAAACGCACCTGTCCAAAGTTGACTGCAGCGTGTTGTGCTGAAGCTGTGAAAATCACAACAGTCAGGAACTCGACCAACTGCTCCCGAGTTTTCAGGGAATCCGGAAACTCTGTGAACATTAGATATGAGTTTACTTTGTGTTTGCATTATTAGAGTGGTGTAAACAATGCATATGGAATCATACAAACATTGTAAACATGTTACATCCCAGGGTGTAATTGACTCTTTGCAAAGTCCTACAATGGTCAATACTCACCATTTTTCTTTTTAACGTCCACCAACATTAATCTGCTAACTCATGTCTAGTTAGTTTTTCTGACAAAATGGCAATTCAACATTATAATTGATTAGATGGCAAAGGGTGAATTACTATTCTACTTTTTTTTTAAGTGGAATGTTTTGGTGTTCTGCTCGCCTTCTCAATGCAGACTAGCCGACTCTAGTATCATCCACTGCTGGTTTCCTCTCCAGCTTCATCCACAAGCTGCCAATCAAAGTTTGAAGAAGCCTTTTTGTCTCCAGGCGGCTGAGACATTAGTAAGTGTGCTTTTGTTGTGCGTTTATCTTGTTGTACAACATATTGTTCAGTGAAGATGACTTTGTTGTTAATTAAGTTCACTGGCACCCTTAAGGATGGATTGAAGTTAAAACCGTTTACAATTTGATTGCTATTTTGTGTAGCGATTCTTAGCTCAAATAAAGGGGATATAATTTGAATAACTGGTCATGAATATGTCCAGTAATCGCATACATAGATTCAAATTACCTGTAAAGGGAATAAGTTACCAATGGTCTGTATGGACAACTGAATATAACGATTTTCTAGTCAGTCCTCCATACAGGTAGGCAAAATTAGATCAAGAGCTGAAAGGTAAGAGGGTAGGAGAGAGGGGAACTGGCGTTCCATTCTTTTGAGGACAATGGAGTTCACACCTCTTTGGAGTGAACTGGCCAATCACCTTCGAGAGTTTCGAGAGGGAGAAGTTTCCCTTTTCTCCTGTCAAAGCAGCTCATCTGCATAGTTTACGGCCTTGTTAAAAGATGCAATTTCTAACCAGAAAACAGTTGCACATAGAATCATACATTTTACTGTAATTTCCTGTATGTGTCTAACATCCCGTGAGCTAGAGAGGATTAAAACGATACCAAGAAGATATACACACATAATAGGAATACAAAGATACACCTAAATGCATAATTACAAGCACTTATTTGTTATCACTGATACACTAGGAAATCACAACTAGACTAATATGAACTGGGAAACATGCAAACACACAGGAATATATCGTATACAGTTGGCAATGGCTCATATTCTGATTTTAATGGAAAAGTCCGTGTGTGTGTGTGTCTAACGGTGCTTTCTCTTCGATGACCTGGCATTCCTTTCTCCGCAGAAAGGGGGTGTTGATGAGATACTGATCTCTTTGAGGCTCGGGCGGGTTCTATTTTATTGGTGTTTGGGTAAACACTCTTATGCCGTAAAGGTGTCAAAGGGGCAATCTTATGGTGCCAGGCCAGAGTTACGGGTGAGAGTCAACGGGGGTTAAAAGCATTTTCACATGTAGAATGAATGAGTCATCCTGACACAGTCCAGATACTCTACATTTGGAAGCAGTCGGAAGGGTGATGCCATTTTGGTTAATGTCCGTGTTTTCTCATGTTTGGTTAGAGGGGGAGTAAAGTACGAGTTATTTTCTTCATTTTGAATTTTTGAAAGTTTAGAAAGTACTCCCCTCAAAGTCCGAACTGATGTTCGTTATTTTGGCCTGGTCCCCTCCTGAAGTCTATCTGAAGCATCCTCTTTTGCATTTAGAACTTCCCAAAAATTAAAAAAATTTAAACTTCCCAAAAATGTTTACTTGTAATTGTAAAGGACCATTAAATCTTCCTATCTCTAAAATGGGCCATCACTTTTACCTCCAGCCATAGAGGGGCGGTGTGGTCATGGAATAACTGAAGGTTTTCACTAAAAAGGGACTCTTGCTAAACCTGAGCTAAAATACTCTTTATTTGTTTGTTTTGGTTTAGTAATATTTTCGCTGAATACATAATGGTGATATTGTATTTTTTATTTTGTTTTACAAGAGCTTCTGTCACTTACCTCACATGCTTTTATTTTGAAGTCCGTGAAAAGGAAGTGCAGTGGCGCGCGCGCTGTGTGTATGTTGGCGCACTTTCTATGTGACGGGTCCGGGCAAGATGGCGTGTTGATCAGTCACTCGCTTTAGAGTCGGAAGATAATTGTCCCGAATTTTGACTTTAAGCTTATAAAAGACACTCCAAAATTTGTAAAAAGTATAATGAAGTATGATCAAACCAGCTAGACTGATATTTAAAGACGGGGACAGTGAAAAGAAACAAGTTGCGATGAGTGCTAAAGACGCAAAGATTCTAGAGCAATCTATCGATCATGACTACGCCATGGAAGTTAGCTCAATCAACAAAAGAAAAGACTCCGTGCCATCAACTCCAAGTAAGATTCCAGCCGGGAAGAAGAGCAAAACTTCATTAAAGGAAGGTGAGGTCTCTAATTTGGCCATTTTGGAAGCCATTCAAAGTTTGGAAAAGAACTTTAATGAGCAACTGTCACAACTTCGAGAGCAAGCTAAACAGAGTAGCAGCATGGTTGCTAGCCTAGCTAAAGCGGTGCAGTTCAATGCCGAAGAAGTAAAGGAATGCAAGGGGAAAATAAACGAGCTGGAAAGGTGCAGCGAACGTCTGTCCAAAGAAAACGATGAGCTTAAAGAAAGAATCCGGGAACAAGAGAGATACAAGATGAGATGGTGTCTGAAACTGAGAGGTTTATCGGAAAGAAAAGACGAGAACGTTAGAGCAGACGTCATTCAACTCTTCAGTGAGATCGCCCCCGACATGGAACGGCGGCAGCTCGAAGAAGCAATCGACATTGTTCACAGAGTTGGCCGTAAAGAAGATAACAGAAGCAGGCACATAGTTGTTTTATTTGTCCGGAGACTTGTCAAGGAGGAGTTGTGGCGACGATGCAAGGATTCCCTGGTGTGCAGAGAGAAAGGCGTCCGCCTCGCCGAGATGCTTCCACTAGAGGACAGGGAGGCAAGGAAGAAACTGTGGCCGCAGATTGAACAGGCTCGTCGGGATGGAAAGCGTGCTTATTACCGCGGGCCACACGGATACATAGAGGGTCGTCAAATTGGTTAAGCAAAGAAAGGTTTGATCTACTTACACTAGGTGTAAAAGGAGTGTGTTAAAAGGACAAGGGACTTTTTTTTGTATTTACGAACCACCGTAAATAAGCTTAAAGCAAGTTCTTACTGTTTTGTTTAAATAAGATTTGAACCAAGTTTTTACTGTTTTGTTTTTGTTTGCAGTTTTTAGTTATTTTTAGTATCTCGAGCAATGTTCAATTGTTCAGTTTCCTTTGCTTCACTAAACGTGAGGGGTCTAAAAGATTTGGTCAAACGAAAGGCATTATTTTTATTTTGTAAAGGGCGAAAACCACAATGTCTATTGTTACAAGAAACTCATTCTTCCCAGGAGGATGTTAAGTTTTGGTCTAACCAATGGGGTGATCGAATACTGTTTAGTCATGGGACTAACAAGTCTGCTGGTGTTGCAGTTTGCTTTAATAGGTTTCCAGGTGATATAATTACATACAGGACAGATAGTCAAGGACATTGGCTGATGGTGGTCTTAAAAATTGATGGTTATTTTTTCATATTAGCTAACGTATATGGTCATAGAACCATTGCTCAAAATAAACAGATGCTTGAAAATGTTACAAACACATTATCAGAGCTCAAAACATTTTATCCAACAGACTTTATTCTGATGGGAGGTGACTGGAATATGTCACCTGATGAATGGGAAGATAGATGGCCCACTAAATTTGACAGACACCACTTTAATCATACAATTGGGGATTTTATGATTAATAACCACCTGATAGATATTTGGAGAAGTTTAAATGTAGGAGTTAAACAATACTCTTGGTTTAAACCTAATAACACCTGTAAATCCAGGATTGACTACTGGCTCGTTGATCATTCGCTTACAGAATTTGTCTCAGACATATTGATTTCCAAAGCCCCATTAACGGATCATTGTATTGTAGAAATTAAATTAAATCCAGTAGATAAAATAAGTAAAAATAAAGGCTACTGGAAATTTAACTCCGGTCTGTTGAAAAATAAAGATTATTGTACAAAGATAAAAGAATTAATAATTGAAACTGAAAATAATGAGGCAATTGATAGTTTTTGCAATAAATGGGAATTTATAAAATATAGAATTCGAGAATATTCGATTAAGGTTAGCAAGGAGATTGCCAGGGAAAAAAGAAGAAAAGAAATGAATTTGTTTCAGGAAATTAATAAATACTGTGTCAAGACTGAATTAAACAGTGAAGAAAGAAGCAAATTCTTGATATTGCAAGTCAAATTAGATGACATGTTTAGCA